GAGGTGGGAATCATTGGGGATCTCTTAGAAATAAGACTGCAACATTGAGTAATACTCAGGTGCCAGCCAGGTCTCAGGCAGTGGGACAGCAGATAGAGAAAAAACAGGTCCTGCCCTTGAAAACTTGTTCAGTCTATGAGATACATGGTCGTGCACTGTGTCTTAGAGCCATACAAGAATGTCTTAAGGATAGGGTGGGAGCACCAGGCACAAACAGGTGGGAGCAGTTCTGCAGCTTGCTCTGCCTGGATTATGATGCTGGTGTGGACAGGGAAATCCCAGGGAGTTGCAGGAGCCACAGCTCAGTGCCCAGAAGGGGATGAGCACCAAGTCATGTGACTCCATATCCACCTAGGACTGTGGATATGGAGTCACATGACTTGGTGTCTGAGAGGGTCTGTGGGAGCATGGTAGGGGCTTTCCCACCTTGCTCTTAACAAAGACCCTGAAAAGACCCCAGGCACAGGGAATAGGCTGCTCAGTGCCCTGGTGAGCAGAGCAGAACAGAAACCCTGGCCTGAGCAGCTATAGGTGGCAGTGGACAGGACAGTGTGGACAGTCTCTGGGTTCCTGGGAAGAAAAGGTAAAGTCTCATAGTATGGGATGTGGCCACAGCATTTTATATAACATACTAGGGATTTGTACTAGCAAGAGGCCCAAACCCACAGAGGCAATTTCAGAGAGGTGGTTAACAGCTTTGAGGCATAATTTACATACCATCAGATTCATCCATTTTAAGTTTACAGTTCAGTGACAGTAAATTTATAGCACCATGTGACCATCATAAAAAGTTACAGAACATTTCCACCATCCCACTAAACCCCCTCAGGCCCCTTTGCAATTAGTCTCTGTCCCCACTCCAACCTCAGGCAACTGCTCATGTGCTCTCAGTATCTGTAGACTGGCCGTTTTTGATATTTCCTATCAATGGAGTCATACGATTACTTGGGATGCTTTTGCAATTTATCCATGGGATAGCACATATCAGTGTTTCATTCCTTTTTGTGACTAATATTCCATTATATATGATATTCCACATCTTGTTTGTCCTTTCAGCAGTCAGTGGCATTTGGATTGTTTCTAAATTTTAGCTATTATGAATAATGCTTTGATAAACATTTGTTTTATTAGGTTTGTGACATGTGTTCTCATCTGTTTCATATGTGGAATTGCTGATTATACCAAAAGTTTGGTTAACCTTTTAAAAAATTGCCAACCTATCTTCCAAAGTTGCTGCACTGTTTTACATTCTTATCAGTAGTAGGAATATGTGAGGAACATATATATGAGGATTGCAGTTCCACATGACTTCGCCAACACATTTTTCTTCTTCTTTTTTTTTTTTTTTAAGGTACTGGGAATTGAACCCAGGAGTGCTTTATCACTGAGCCACATCCCCGGACCTTTTTGTTTCTTTGTTTTTGAGACAGAGTCTCACTGAGTTACTAAGGCTGGCTTTGAACTTGCAAACCTCCAGCCTCAGCCTCCTGAGTTGCTGGGATTACAGGCGAAGCCACCGTACCTAGCTCGTTCTTCTCTTTTTACATCTATCCTCTAAGCAGGTAGGAAGTAGCATCGCTCTGTGGTTTTAATTTGCATTTCTCCATGACTAATGATGGGCATCATCTTGCATCTTTTTGAACATTTGTAGTTTGTATAGTTTCTTTGGAGAAATCTCTGTTGAAATCTTTTGACAATTTTAAAACTGGATTATTTGTCTTTTGAGTTTTAAGGGTTATTTATGTATTCTGGATACATGTCCTTTATTGGACATATGTTTTGCAGACATTTTCTCCTAGTATGTGACTTTCTGAAGTCGTTTGCCTTTTGAAGGGTAGAAGTTTTAAATTTCAATGAAGTCCGGTAATCAACTATTTTATGGATAGTGCTTCTGGTGTCATATCTAAGAACTCTTTGTAACCCAAAGTCACAAAGATTTTGATGTTTTCTTCTGTAAGTATTACTGTTTTAGCTCTCATCATTAGTGCTATCATGGATTTTGAATTCATTTTTGTATATGATATGAAGTCAAGGCTCAACTTTATTCTTTTCAAAAAAAAAATTCCCTATTGAGCTAGCATTACTTGTTGAAAAGACTGCCCTTTCCCCCACTGAAATTGCCTTTGTCAAAAATCAGTTGCCCAGGGGCTGGGGTTGTGGCTCCGTTGCCTAGCGTATATGAGGTACTGAGCTCAATTCTCAGCACCACATATAAATAAATAAAATAAAGGTCCAATGACAACTAAAATATATTTTTTAAAAAATAAATAACTAAATATCAATTGACGGGCTGGGGATGTGGCTCAAGCGGTAGCGCGCTCGCCTGGCATGCGTGCGGCCCGGGTTCGATCCTCAGCACCACATACAAACAAAGATGTTGTGTCATACAAAGATGTTGTGTCTGCCGATAACTAAAAAAATAAAATAAATAAAAAAAAAACCAGATACATTTATATAAAAATAAAATAAAATAAATATCAATTGACCATAATGTAAAGGGCTGTTTCTGAACTCCGTGCAATCCCATGGATCTGTCTGTGGATACATCCATACCACACTGTCTTAATCAATGTAGCTTTATAGAAAGTTTTAAATTGGGGAGGTAAGTCTTCCAACTTTGTTCTTTTTCTAAATTGTTCTGGGATATTCTGGGTCCTTTGCATTTCCACATAAATTTCAGGATCAGCTTATTATTTTCTCAATAGAAAAAAGGGGGAAAAAATCCCCTCAGATTTTGATAGGGATTCTATTGGCTCTAGAGCTCAATTTGGGAAGAATTGTTATTTTCACAAGATTGAGTTTTCTAGTCCAAGAACATGGAATATGTGTTAGTCAGCTTTCTGCTGCTGTGACAGAATACCTAAGAAAAACAACTTGAAGGAGGAAAGCTTTACTTTGGCTGACAATTGCATAGATTTCAGTCCCTGGTCAGTCGTCTCCATTGTGGTTGGGTCTGTGGTGAGGCAGCCCCTGGTGGCAGATGGCATGGCGGAACAGACCTGCTCACCTCATAGCACCCAGGAAGCAGAGGAAATGTCCAAGGGCAAAGTCCATCCTTCAAAGTGACCTACCTCTTCTAATAAGGCCCCATCTCCTAAAGTTTGCACTACCTCCCCACAGCTCCACCAGCTAAGGACCAAACCTTCAACACGTGAGTCTTTGGGAGACATAAGACCTACAGGTGATTTCTGTAAGCTGATGTTGTATCTTGTAAACTTGTAGGACAGTCTTTTTCTGAGTTACGAGCCATCTACAGTGTCAGCTAAATGAACCACAAACTAATCAAGAGCTGGAATTACATACCTACCTCCTACCTGCTGCAAGGCCTTCCCTTTCAGCCTCCCCCCACCCCCCCGCCTCTGATGTCCAAGAACAAAGGTCCTTCACTCAAAGAGGCACATAAGAAGTCTTGAGAAGCTCCATGACAAAGTTCTTCCTCAGACCAACTGAAGTGCTCATCACTGTATGTTCTACCCATAGCTCCAGGGTTGGGCGAACAACCCTTCTCCCCGTTTTTGAAGACAAAGCCACCTCCACCTGTCACTTTCTTTCTTTCTTTTTTTTTTTTTAAATCACCTGTCACTTTCAATGAGGCCCCAGAACTGGGATTCAGGCATCCCTTTTTGGCCTGTCACCTGAACACCAGAGTCCCACTGAAGCCCAACACTTCATTGCTTTCTCAGTGGCCACAGAATACCTCAGCCCCAAAAATATGGTTTTAGGTCAAAGTAGAGAGAAATTAGCCCTACGGGATTTTTAAGTGTTGCATGTCTGTGAATCGCTCTGGGATTTGGGGCAAGCTACCTCACCTGATAGAGGAGTAAAGATAAATGACTTGTGCTCTGGGTTTGGTTCTGAGCTCAGGGCTGCAGTGAATTTCTCTCAGTGTGTACCTCATTTCAAGGACCCTTCTGGCATAATCCCCAGAGATAAGACAGTTTCCACTGATGGTATGCAGAATGATTTCAGGAAATACACAGGATGTCAACTCACAGTGAGGAAATTATTGTCTTTAAAGCACACATATTTTCCAGTCACTACAATTAGGACAAAGTCTCTGTTAGTGTTAATATGCCTTTTAATACCCTGTTTAACCCCGGGTATCCTCCACTCTGCTCATTCCCTGCCTTTTTCTTTAAAGAACAAGACTGGCTGGGGATGTGGCTCAGTGGTAGAGCACTTGTCTAGCACATATGAGGCACTGGGTTCGATCCTCAGCACCACATATAAATAAAAAATAAAGGTACATCAACAACTAAAAAATATTTTTTAAAAAACAAAGAACAAGGCTTGGGAAAACAGTATAACACTGTTTTTCCTTGTTACGTATGGCAAATAAGACTGTTTTCCCACTTATAATAGTAGTAAAAAGTTGCCTTTCCAAAGTGAAAATTTTTGAGTTGATGAGGAAACATAGTTCACAGATGGGGCCAAGGTGAAGGTAGTTTGGGAAGTCCGGCGATGGGATACACTGAGTGATGCCAAGCAGAGCTGGGCCCACTGCAGAGGTGACACTTTCCCTTGTCTTACTGTTTTATGTTGATATAAATATACCAGAGACTGAATAATTTACAAAGAATAAATATTTATTCAGCTCCTGACTCTAAAGTCTTGGAGGTTTAAGGTGAGGGGCTATACCTGGTGAGAATTCTCTTGTTGGTAGGGACTTGCAGAGTCCTAGGGTAGTGGCATAACATGGTGAGACTCAGGAAACACACTAGCCCAGGCTTCTCTTTCCTTATAAAGCCACTAATGCCATCACAGTGCCCCACCCATCTTGACCATGTCTTAATTATTTCCAAAGGACTTACCTCCAAATGCCATCAACATATGAATTTGAAAAATTCTGTTTTCAGTACATGGAATTTCAGTACATGGAATTTGAGTGGATCACTGCCTCCCGTGATCCACTCAAGCTCTTCCACACTTTGGACCACTGTGTTTCTGGGTGTTCACCCCATGCACATCACTAACACAGTGTGCTTTGTCTCCCCCTGCAGGTGTGGAGGGCTGGGGCTAGTTCTGGCCAGCGCAGGCTTTGGCATGCTGACAGCACCTATCATCGAGCTGCACAACCAGAAAGGCTACTTCCTGCACCATATCATCTTTGCCTGCTGCACGCTCATCTGCATCATCTGTATCCTCCTGCTGCCTGAAAGCAGGGACCAGAACCTGCCTGAGAACATCTCCAATGGGGAACATTACACAAGGCAGCCTCTGCTGCCGCACAAGAAGGGGGAGCAGCCACTCCTGCTCACCAACGCAGAGCTCAAGGACTACTCGGGCCTGCATGATGTCGCCACTGCAGGTGACGGGCTGCCTGAGGGTGCCACAGCCAATGGCATGAAGTCTATGTAGCTGGCCAAGCCACCATCCTGAGAGTCCCCTGGGGCTTTAAGGGTTGGGGGGAGTTTGGGCACAGGTTTACAGACCAGGGAGCAGGCACATGACCTGGGGTAGGAAAGTCCAACTCTGCTGCTGATGCCACCCAATCGTGAGACTTTCAACTGGTATGGGGAAATTCTGTCTTTCCAAAAGTCCAAGGAGAGGGTTCAAGGAAACAGACTCTGGAAACAACCCTTCAAAGACTTTCTTTTCTGCCATGAAATGTTTATATTTATTTTGGTCATTTTTATGAGAAGCACTTTATTCCCTTTCCACTCACTGGTCACGAAGCGGAACCACCTCCTTTGGGAGCAAGGCATGGTCACTCCAAGGAAGACCCTGTGAGTGACCAACACAGCAGCCAGTGTCCTCCCGAGAAGTCAGATGCCACTCCTCGCCCTCCACCTGAGGAGCCAGAGGTCACCTGGGCAGGCCCAAAGGAGCCCCCCACCACAGGCTGCCCACCTGTGGACAGACATGACACTCTTGGAGCATTCCCAGGACTGTATTTTAGACAGTGAAATGTACATGAATTAGGTTTTTGCTAGAGTCTGTGTATGGTTTTTTAAACTTTTTTTTCCTTTTTTCTTCCTTTGTAAGGTAAGAGCTTCCACCCCAAGTTTTAGGGGAAAACAGTTCCCGGATATCATCAAAACCAGCTCAGTCTTTCTTTCCTTCAGGATCATTCTTTTGTACTTGACGCTGGAAGCTCTTTGGGGGAAACTTCCACACTTCACCAGAAATCATAAATGATCAGTGATAATATCACCAGTTTTCTGATGCCAGGTTTTGCTTAGTTAAGTACACAACCAGCAAATGTGCTGAGGTCTGAGATGGGTTGATTTTTATTAAACTCCTTCCTAGATTTTGCTCCAGCAGAGAAATTCCCTCTTTCACGGTCAGCTTTGCATCTGGCACTACTTGAAAATGTGGCTACTTTCTCGAACTAAAAACAAGAAAATAACTGAAAAGACAGCTGAGGCAAACCACAGCAGGGAGGGCCTGCTCTCCCGACACAGCCTGTCACCCACATCTCAAGCACACACCACAGAGATCACCGGCTGGGATAGCTGTCACTCAAGTCACCAGAGCCAGCATCGCCTGCAAGCCTCACATCTTCCTCAATGGCTCCCTGCTTGCCATTGGCTCAGCCCAGAGGTGGGGCTTGGGCAGGAGTGCAGATTCCCCACAGGTGAGTCCAAATGGCCTCCAGCCTCTTGGAAGCAAGATAAAGTGAGAGAAAGCAATAACTCACCAAAGTTCCCCTCCCACCTCTGTTCCACCTCCAAGGGTTCTCGCCATGTTCCTCATCGTGCACCATCCAGTAGGAAGCCCAGGGCTAAGAAACCAGCCTTCTTGGCACGCAGGTGCCACTCTGTTGCAACTCTAGCACCTGCTCTTCTGGACAGCCTGGCTTCTCACAGAACGTCAGCCTCACCCCTTAGTGATGCTCACCTTTGCGGTGGGCTGTGTTCTTCCAATGTCATGATGGTCTTTGGCCTGTTTGGGTAATTAGATGACTTCCAAATGACAGTTGCTAGAATTCAAAGAGACAGGGGTTGAGTTTCTCCCCTTCCAACTTCCACCTGGTCTTTCCTGTAGTCTCCATCCAACTCTTGCCCTTCACAGCTGGTACTACGAGTGTTGGCAGGAGCCCACTCACTGCCTTGATGAAGGTATCAATGGGGCAGAGATCAGATGTGCAGCCACATGCTCCCAGCACCTGGACCTGAGCTGTCTCATCAGCCGATGCCTGGGGTTGGGAGAACCTCACTCAAGTCCCAGCAGCCGAGGGGAGGCTTTCTGAGCAGTCCTTCCCCATCCACCTGCTCCAAGTTTAGCTCATCCTCTCCCTTCCTGGTTTCCGAAGTCACTTTTGTTCCATGTTTCGACGTTAGTCCGCATTCACCTTACAAAGGCCTTTTATTTTTTTTGGATCTGTGCAGCCTTCGTGTGCCAAACTTGTGAAATATCTTTTACCTTTTTTAGGGTATTTGCTACCAAGACACCTGGCAGCAAGCCCTGTGAAGTTCAGGATAAGGCATACTCAGAAGTTGTGAGCGGTCTCACACTGGTCGTGCAGGCCTTTTTAAAGAAACGTATGGAAACTACAGGAACTGTTGAAATGACTAGGCAGGTGGTGTCAAGGTAGGGCACTTCCAAACTTCCGTTCCAAAGCCTCCGATCTCCACCTCAGATAACAATGATGAAAACACTGGGCCAACCAATTCAGCACTGATCACTTCAGCAATCAGGACTAATCCATCAGAGACCAGAGGAGAATCTGGCTTTGAGGCCTGGACTCAAAGGACCAAAGTCTAGTGGATGTGCAGGTGTTGTCCCTTGGTCCCCCTTTTGGAGCAGCCAGAGGATGAGGCCGAGTTGCTACTTCAGCTAAGGGGTACCTGAAGCTCTTGAGGAACACCTTTATGAAATGTAGCTGGAGAAGGAAACTATCCCCATGGACAGAGCCCTGTGAAGTATGTGTCAACCAATTCAGAAAGGCAGCAGATGCACCCAGGCCTGATACGTGTAAGGCCTGTGGGGCGCCACAGAGGAGGTGGCCTCTGCCCAGCTTCCAGCACCAGGCTGCCCGCACTTGAGCTTCTCAGTCCTGTGTTCCCCCATGATTAGTAGAGAGACGCTTCTCAGGCTCCTGCCCCTTCTACTCGGCCCTCTCCCCACCAGGGAAACATCAAGAGTATTAACCTACTCCCTGCTACTCTCTCTACTCACCTTTGAGCTCTGTGACTCCTTTTTGATTTAAAAAAAAAAAAAAATGCACAAATGTGAACACCTGAGCTGGGGCTGGATGTTTCTTCATTTTATTTTCCAGAAGCCAATAATAACTATTATCAAATATCCTACTTATTAGCACCCAAGACAAATAGGAACAAGTTTTAAATGTTTTTATTTTCTAAGATCATAATCACCTGCAACTAGAGGACAGGGCTGGTAAGTTGGTTTGACCACGGAAGAGAGAGCAAGTAAAAAATCCTCATTAAGGGAAGTATCACACTCAACATGACCAGTTCCTAGAGCCAAAGGAGAAATCCCTGAAGTGGAAGTGCCACTTAGTCAATCTCATGACTGTCACATTCGCACAGCCCCGGGGTGGCGCATGGGTTGGAGGAGGCCCATGCTTCAACCCTGTCTTGTTTTGAAGGACACCACCTCACTTTAATGTATCGTGTGTGTTTTGGAGAAGCAGTACGGTGTTATGTCTAGTGAGGAACGCTTCCCTACCTCTGTCCTTCCTACACCCCAAACGTGTGAGGTTTTCATATAAGAACCGTGTTCCTGTACGTGTCAATGGGGTTCCCCTGGCAGTACTTGTTCACAGCACAAGCTTACATCCAGTTCTGAACTGTCATTCACAGCAACGTGTCTGCATGGTGTCGCATCTGTTGTACCTTTGGGGAAAATTCGTATGTAAATGTACAGAAATAAAAATGTTGCCCCATTAACAGATTTCCTCTGGAATGTCTTCCCTACCTCACCTGATGGTATCCAACGAAGGGCATTTCACTACCATTGACGACGAGTAATAAAAATCCTCCATGTTGATTCAGACCTCGCTCGGTGCGTCACTACTTTCAATGCCTCTGTATGCTTGTCTTCTTTCGCCCTAAGCGGGATGGTGGGGGCCTCTCACTCTGCTTTAAGAGTCCTAGTCTTAAAAGGCAGTTGGAGGCAGAGAATAGATTAAACATAAACTGTTTATCTATTGCCATTCTCAGACCACCTGAGAATTCAGTACATTTAAGAGGAATTTTTTTTCTCTTGTTTATGTTCTGCTAATCCGTGGCCTGAAAGTTCCTAGAGAGGTCAAGAAGTGAATATCTTACACTGTGATTCTGTGAGGAAAGACTGATAACCCAAAACTCTCTTCTCTAATGTAGTATTTTTTAACAAGAAAACAATTATTTCTTTAATAAAGTATTTATACCAAACTCTTCTCTCCATAGCCCTGATTTTGTGTCACTTACTATTCTATTCCTGGAGAGGTGCCCACTTGCTTTCCAAGCTGAGGCCTCCAAGGTTAGCATCCAAAGTCTGCAAAGGAGGGAGGCACTTGGAACCTCATACAAATGTCTTCCTCTGAGTGCCCTTCTTCCTGGCCAGTCACCACCCTCCATTACTACCACGCGCTCCATGCAAAACTCTTGCCACTGCACAATGGTTGCCACAAAAATGGTTCCAGGGCCTGAACTATCCACCTCTAGTAACAAAAGGGTCCATGTGGACCCCAAAGATTAGAAAGTTCTTTGTTGGTGGTGCTTGCCATTTCTTGCCTGGAGAAGAACCTAGGGAGCTTGCTAGACCTTCTGCATCAGAAAGCCTGGGCCTCAGACTACCTGCACCTCTGAGGAAAGGCCACAACTGGAATCCAAGTGTTAGTAGACAGAAAAATGCTAAGGTGAAAATCAAAGGCAGATACTTGGGACTTGGAAGAAAAGAGAAGGAAGATGGAAGAGAATGCAATAATAGGAAGAGCAAGAGGGACCTGAGGTATCCGAACCTGTAAAACCGTAATTGACACTTGACTGCCAAGATATTTAGTTAACAACACAGTTCTACATACTTAATCCGAGCAGTAACTCACAGGAAGGTGGGAATTATCCCCATTTGGTAGATGAGAAAATACAATCCAAAAAACTTCAGGCTTCACCCAGACCACAAATCTAGTAAGTAGTATTGAGTGGGATTCAAATGTAGCCTCAAGAAAAAACAAAAAAAGTGAAGGAAGGGCTCAAGGAAAACAAAGCAAGAAGTGCGTGCCCAGGAGAAGGGTTCAGCTGAGATGGGAAGATAAATACATCCATTCACAAGGCAGACAGCCATCTCAGGCACACACACAAACCCAAAGCATATTTGTAAAGACTTGTTCATCTTAATTCTAATTGGGAATGTACATATGAATCATGTCTGATCTACACTTTAGATTGTTAGATCACAAGCTTCACTCCCAAAAAAAATCCCATTTCACCCCTTTTCTCTGTCACCAAGTGGGTAGGTGTTACTGCCCCCGGGCTCTCCTCCTTCTCAAGGCCCATCCCTAGGGCCTTATAGCCCCCAAACTATGTGGAGAAAGAAAAGCTCCTAAGAGTGAGCCTTCAAGAACAAAAGTATGAACACAACTGATTAAAATAAAATTCAATCCATTTATTTAAATGTACACTGTAGATAAGTTATAAATTCTCCCTTCTGCCACTCAGCTAGAACTTTTCGGGAAAAGCCTCCATTTCTTCCTTGATCCTGTTTTCTACAAGTAATGCGAAGTTACTGTCTGTGTTTTGAAGGTTATAGCTGACAAACACCTGTTTGTTGGTCTTCCTGGCTAAAAGAGAGAACACATTGACACAGCCATGACTGAAACACCACAATTGCCTGTTCCTCACACCTACCCACAGCTGGTAATGCTTGAGAAGAGAATGGTTTCAAGGGGAGAAGAGAGTCCTAATTTTAGGACTCTTTGAACTGATGCTACAAATGCAGACAAGTGTCATTTAGCCCTTCCCCTAGTCTCTAGAACAGTGACTCTTAAGTGTGGCTTCATAGCAGTAGCAGCAGCTGGAACCTGTTAGACTTGCAGATTCTCAGGCCCCATCCAGACCTTCTGCATCAGAAATTTGGAGTTCGGGCCAGAAATCTGTGAACAAGCCCTCCAATGACCCATACTCATGCTTGAGCTGCTGCTCTACATAGGGTGTTTTGGTTTTGTGGCATTTGGGGTTTTATTTCTTAAAATCACAGATAGTATAATACTAAAGTATTTAAAAGTTCCCCTTCCCAGAGGCAACCCTATATTTCTATGCATTTACATATGTGTACATGTTCACACACGTGTGTATACACACATGTATAATTTTCTGATGCTGAATCTAAGTTTTAGCTCTTTTCTACACAGCCAATGATAAATAGTTGGGGTACACTCGTCCAGCTGCAAAAATCAAGCAAAGTCACACACCCCAAATGTGAAAGACAAGACAATGTGCTGAGAAGTAGCAGTAAGCCCCAAACAATTCCGGCTGACTGCACTGTGCTGGGGCCTCCTTCCTCAGCCTCCCCACACCCCAGGCTGGTGCAGAATCTCCTCTCCTCCCATCCCACTATCAATCTCATCACAGGCAGAAAAGTGGGGCGGTGGTGGCCACCTGTACCATTATTAAAGGCTGGTGTAGAACACACACAGCACCAGGCTTCATCCAGGGGCTACTCTGTCCACTCAGTTGGTATCACCATCACACCTGTGGTCCTCCTAGGTACCATGTGGCTCAGGAGAATGGGGAGAGCCAGCTGCAGGAGGCCTGGATCCTTTCCCATCCCATCACAGCCAGGAAACCTCTTTGAGCTCCAGGTCTTCCTTTGTAAATCAAGAAAGGGTAGACCTCAGGACCTCAAAGGGCTTTTTATTCACCTTTTCCAGAATAGTCTGATTTTCAGGGATAAAAGAGATCTTGGGGATTAGTTGACTGCCTTCTTTACAGGGCAACTGGCAGAACTCCAGAGAAGCTGAGAGGACAAGCCAGCCTCTGCCTTGAGGAGAGCTGGGCAAATTGTATGGCATGTGAATTATACCTCAATTAAGCTGTTTTGGGGGGGTTTTTTGTTTGTTTGTTTTTTAAGAGGAAAGTATCTCGACAGAAGCAGTTCTCAGTATCCTAAGAACTAGTGTTTAGCTTATGGTGCTTGGAGCAGTCTCTCACCAGTTTGGTGGGTGCAGTGTGCCCACATCAGTGACAGCTGTACCCAAACAGTGATCCACTAAGCCCTGGGGGGAGTGGGAAGGCCCATAGGTTCCCATCGTTTCTTCAGTGCATGAAGCAGACTGGGAATTACTCGTTTAGACAATGATCTATAAATAAATAGAGTATAGCAGAACAGGGGAACATACCAAGGCCACTTGGGAGAAGGCCCATCAGGCCACACCCATTCAGCCTGCCCAGAAGAGGTTCCTCTCTCCCCATAGGAACCCACTGAGATTCCAATCATTCTGTTTGCTAAGATAGGTCCTCTCAGGGAGTAGCACTGTATCTGCTGACATCATCTACCCATACTCAGCTGTCCTCCAGAGCCACAAGAGCACAGGGTCTCCTCATCCATACCAAAGCCTGTGATACTTCCAGAGCTACTTGGTATTTCCAAGGCCGGCTCTTTCCGTACTTGCTTTCACTTTCTGTACATGACACAGTTACAGGAAACCTCTCCCTTTTCATTATAATGCATTAATAATGAATTTCAAGGCTCAAGAGGATGGGCACAGCACATGACTTAACTGGGCAGCCTCCACTTGGTCTGGGCACTGTGGGGCACCAGACCCTTCAGAGAAGCAGACAGCCACACTGAACTACTCAAGCAGTTCTAAGTTACTGAGAACCGCTTGCTTTTTTGCATCAATCTGGGGTTAGACATCTGATGGATATTCTTGAACCTATTTTACCTTTCTGGTATAAAACTCATGGCATATCAGAGGAGCTCCCGCCATCCTCCTCTATGGGTGTCTGTCATGGCAATCCCAGCCAGCTTTCTGTCTCTGTAAACAGGAACATATTCCCACCACTTTAAGCAGGCATAGACACACAGTAGTTAGCTAAGTGTGCTACCCCTCACACATGGGAAAAAAACATGGGGAAGCACTTAAAAGGAAAGGGCATCAGAGACCGGAGTTGTAGCTCAGTGGTAGAACACTTGCCTAGCACATGTGAAGTACTCAGTTCAACCCTCAGCACCACATAAAAATAAATAAATAAAATAAAGGTATGTGTCCATCTACAACTAAAAATAATAATTCTAAAAAAACAATAAATAAAAGGGGGCATATCTCCAACTAAATTTTACATGGTTCAGAAAAAAATTATGATATAAACCCAGAGGGGGAAGGATAACAACTAGGAATCAGTGTAGACAGGGGAGGAGTTCCTGTTTCTTCTTTGTAAACTTCCTGTAAATTTAAAATTATCTCCTAATAAAAAGTTACCAAATTACTAGCTTGGTCTCTCTAACTCCATGCTAGAGAAAATGTACCCTGCAAGTTCCTAAAAGCTGACCCTGTGGGTGTGGCAAGTCTGGAAGGGCTGGTGACATTTATCCAGCCTGCCTTCACCTACTGGAGGATGTCCTCTTTGGCTGTGTGCTGTATGTTCATGCATGTGGAACACAGGTGACAGACATGAATATTGCCACTTGTCAGGCCAACAGAAGAAGCCTCTTTGCACAGCACCCAACACAACTAAGTATGAGCTCCTCAAAACCAGTTGGCCTCCTTCTCCAGAGGGGCCCTATGCCTAACCCCAGAACTGAAGCAACTGGGAACAACAAAGAACACAAAGACTGAGCAGGAGACAGGGCATCCTGTGCACACTGACTGTGGGCCTGAGGGGCTGAGAATGGCAGAACATGCCATTCTTACTTGAACTACCTGGACATTTACAGTATGTATGTATCCAAGGTGCAGAAGGGGTAGAATCTTCACCATATATTCTTTGCTTGATACCCACTCTATGCCACACTCAGAAGCCAAACCACAGTCTCTCCAAGATCTGAACATACACTGAGAGACTACAGGATGG